ACAAGACTGAAGAGGAAGACGATGTCGGCGTTCAAGCAGCGCATTCTCTCAGTGCATATAGAGGCAAGGGGAAGAAAGACGACGGACCCGCCAAGGGTGTGAAAATCGACACTGACGAGGAAGAAGACCAGGTTCAAGGGGCCCGTGCGACATTACGGAGACAGATGGCCCCCAAACCTGGCTGGAAACAATGGGTATTACCTACGCCGACTCCTGAAGTGGATCCCCACGGGTTCGAGGACCCTGTGTGCGACGAGTTTTGGAAGAATGTGTGGGTGGCATGTGCAGTCCATAATGTAGGCCACGATCTTCCATATCTTCCATTGAATCAGCACTGAAACGTCTGTCAGACCGAGATTCACAGAAAGGTCTTCCATGCCGTCCCCGACGACGTTGTCAACACTTCAGTACAAGGAATTTGTTCTTCATCACGAACGGCTGAACCAACCGGTAAGCTTATTTCTTTGCTGTGGCCGTGGCTCATGCTGACGTTCCGCTAGATCAAAGAGTCCTCCTCTCATGAGCCCCTCGCTCGAGTACCATCCGAAACTGCCGACCAGGATGCTCCTGGTCAACCGCATACTGCCGGTAACACTGTGCATCCAGCAGACTATGCGTACGACCCCGTCATTGGGGAGAAAGGAAGTGAGCCGACGGACTCAGGGTATTCGACAACCTCAGACCCATATACTCCGCCCCAGACGGGTACGGAGAAGGACACGACTCGCGGACGCAGAGGAACCCGCGGCATTGAGCCGTTTGACGAGTCCGATCGCCAGGAGATGGAACGTCTGCTCGAGGAAGTACGCGGCCACCTAGGCGTGCAAGGTTACCTTACATGTGGCTTGCGTATCTCACAGTTGTTTTCCGATTCAGTCCTCTATCCTACTCGATTTTTGGAGGGAGAGGATGCAGCCAACAATTTCTTGTTTAATGCTGATCGGTAAGTCCTAAGTCTTCCTGAAACCGAGATACGTTGTTTGATGAAGTTTTGCATACTAATGCCTCTACCGATATACGACTGATCCTTCTTTCTCCTTCTCCTTGTCTCACTCTCACTCCCACGCACGGACTATGGACATGGACTGCGTAGTTATCGCATAGCGTTCCTCACATTCGTTTTCTATTATGCTTAGGGCGTCATGTACTATATCATCGACATTCATAGCACTGATAGTAATGCTTTCTCGCTCTCCAGCCATGATCTACTAAGACTACTTGGCTGTTTTGCATTGAGTCGTCTGTAGACACTTCACTGTCACGGTTTCTCAGAAAGTTTGACTGGAACAGACGGGCGCTTAGCACACTCAAGTTGCTTTGACTATGGACGATCAACACGCTAAATGCGCACTGTCTCTGGGCGACCTGTTCTTTACCGCAACATCCTCGTCCGCATTAGAAATTCTCTATTGGGTGAAGCCGTGAACTCTTATGCCCACGGTATCGGCGATAATCACTCGTATGGACGCTGCTAGTGAGGTCAATGGTCGACCCGTCCCTCAGCACCTGAACGGTGCCGGGTGCCGTATCGGTTGTTCGGAGGGAACAGGGAGGGGTGTAGTTGGTCAGTCTATTCTTTCTGTATCACTGCAGACATGAACTCGGGTCGATCGCAGCATCCCGCCCAATTGATGCGTATACGGTGGTTGAGATCAGCCCGGTGCTGCTGTTCTCCTCCGAAGAGTATGAAGCACATGGGAAGTATACCGTGCTCGATCCATATACTTTCAGGTGGCGAGATGGGCGGATGGCATTGGCGTTGGGACTCGGTGCGTCTCTTTTTACGCTTCGCCCTTCTGAGACCATGACATCTCGAAATAACGCATTTATCAATCGTGCTAAATCTATGCATCCAATCAGGATCACTCTTTAACCACTCCCAAAGTCCCAATGTTTCCTACATAATCAACACCAAGACAGAGTCGATTCGGTACACGACGATGCGGCGCATTGAGACAGGCGAAGAGCTGTGCATATTCTACGGTCACAAGCTCTGGTTTGACGTGATGGATGATGGGGCTGGTTCTGGTGACGTTGAAGAGGAGGAGGTAGATGATGGATGGGGAGGGCTGGCAAGGCTGAATGCCAACGAAAGAAGAAGTGAGATTGAGGACGATAGCTGGGCGAAGAGTGATGCGCAGAGTATAGATGGGAGGAAGGAAACCTTCGAGTCACTCTTCAAGAGAGGAGGTCCGGACGAGGTCGTTCCTGAGGAGCAACTGCCGCTCACGTGTGTTAAACTGACGGACGATGAGGAGGAAGAGGAGCTCAGCGCCGTTCATACCGGTAGGTCGACGCTCGATGCACGCCCCGCAATTTACGTACGCTTCTGACATTGCGCTTTTCAGAGTGCGCTTGGGTGGTGGATATCCCTGACGCTCGGCATATAACCACGATGTTAAAGTACGTCCTATTGTCA